AAACCTTCTCCAAACTACCACAATCCACAAGAAACTGAAGCCCCCCCAAGCAGCAAAGCCAAGCTCAAGGTTTTCTCAAGAGCGCTTCTGGTAAGATTTTTTGTCTGGCAGTTTGTCTATGACAACCTGCAACTCTGCCAAAATGGCATCTGAGATCTGCCCAGCTTCCTGTCTCTTTTCAACAGGCAAGCTCAACTCTGAAAATTCAGGCTCTGCAAGAAACCACTTGGTCCACAAAATGCTGTGGATCTCTTTCAAGGCAGACTGCCAATTAGCAGGGCTAGCAGCCTGAAAAGTCTTAGTGACTGTTCTGTTCTTCAGGTTCCCAATCCACTTGTCAGTGGCAAATTGGTTCTGAAAAGATCCTGCCCACCGGTGGTCATTGTAGTTTAAAGTGATTTTGGCCCCTGGTGGGCACAAATCTTCCAACACTGCACACCTGGAAAACTTCTTTTCTTTAGAAATGCCCTGGCCACCTGGCCTGGGGGTGGCAGGGGCTGGTGAAACATCACTTCTTTCCATGTGCACTTCAGCATGCCCTGAAGACCCAGCTGGTGCATCAAAAGCTGAAACCATTGGTGCATCAGCAGGCTCAGCTGGTGCAGCAGCATGCCCTGGAGACTCAGCTGGTGCATCAGAAGCTGAAGCCGTTGGTACATCAGCCACATTCCTGAGTTGCAACCTCAGCTTTCTCAGGACTCTGGCTGGGGTCAGTGGTTTGAGAAGGTTCCACTGGTGCAGGTGCAGCATCCTCTGAAGGTGCAGCCTCAGCCTCAAGTACTTTTGGTGTTTTGCTCTCTCTCTCTCCTCAACCTTTGCTTGTCTTCTTTTCTTGCCTTTCTTCCCTTTGCCTCTCCCCTTTGCTTTGAATTTGCCTTTCACTTGCTTTCCTCTCCCTCTGCCCCTGCCTCTCCCTCTCCCCCTCTTCTGCTTTTGGTCCAGCAGGTCAGATGCCTTCTGCTCTGCGTTTTTTGCTTTTTTTCTTTTTCAATTTTGCCTTCTCTTGCTTTAGGTCTGGGTCTCCACAGTTGTGTGTTTCCTCTAGCTGGTTCAATAGTTCTTCATACTCTTCATCCAACTCTCCATCTTCTTCTTCTTCTTCTTGTTTCCTGTTCAGGCTAGACTTGTTCATTGCTTCCTCTTTCTCCTCTTCTGTGTCCAAGAAAAGGTCAAACACAGCACGGTAGTGTTCTTTCTTGTTGGCTTGCTTTGGCAAAAAAATGTTGAACTGCTCCAAAATCATTCTGCACTGTTTCACTGTGAGGTTAAGACCTGCCTTGATCTTGGCTTCTGGTAGCTGTTGTGGTGTCCCACACTGCTGGAAAACAAGTGGTCCATGTGCATGCTGAAGTGCAGCCTGAGTAGGCACAGCCAGCCAATCATCCAAGTTCTGGATGGTTTGCCAAGTCACTGCTGTTGCTGCTTGCCTGTACAGTGTGAACAAAGCTGGCTGGTTGTCATCCTCACCTGGCACAACTTGCAGCTCCCATGCCAGAAAGTTGTGTGAACTGGCTTGCAAAACCATCATGAGCCTCCCCCCTGGCCTGTAAGCCAGGATGTCACCATGACCCACCAGGCAAACCAATGTAGCGGCATCAATCTTTTTTGTGTCAAGGCCATGGTCCTTTTGGAGCAAAAACTCTAGTGAAGCAGCTTCCTGAAAGAGTGAGGTGTGTGAACTGCTAGGCCAGGCAAAGTTTGGCTCTGAAGCTTTGTACTTCATGCAGGATTGGAACTCCTTGGCCATGGAGTGTGAGTTTGGGTTGGTAGCTTGTACAATGCTCTGTACTTTTGGTTTGCTGATGTCTGCCTGGAGCTTTGCAAAGGGTGTCACCTGAATGTGTGGGATTTTGCAACCAGAGAGCACATTGCTGCTGAGTGCTGAGTGGTATTTGTGCACTCTGCTTGTCATGTTATGCCTTGCTTCCCTCATTGTGTCCTTTGCAAACTGGTGTGTTTTCCACAATGACTGTGTTACCTGGGCGCCTTGCTGTTGCTTTGGTTAGTTCTGTTGCTGCTGCTGTTGCTGTGCCCTGCCTGTTCAGCAACCTATCCTGCTCATTGGCCAGGTAGTGGAACCTGCACAGTGATGTGGTGGTAAAGTGCATGGACTCATATGGTTTGATGGACTGACCACTTGCCACTAACCTTTCAATGTCCAGAATGGCCTTCCACTCACCTTGCATTTGTTTGCTTGTGCTTTGGGCTGTCTCACTCTTCCCCAAGCCTGCATACCTGTGTGGTGGTTTTAGGAATGCACCTACTAGACTTGTTGCCCTCATAGCCAGCAACTTCAGCAAGAGCTTCTTGTGTGTTTGCAGGTTTGTGGTGGTGCCCATCCCATTGTCTGAATACAGCCTCTTCATTGCAGGTACACTGAAGCATCCATGGTCAATCAAACTTTGAAGCTCATCCTTCCAACCACCAGTGGCCATGTGGACCACATGCTGCAAGAACTCATCTGGTGTGTGGACATGTTGGCTCAGGTGGGTGCTGGCTGACCAGAGAGGCCTGCCCATTTCTGCTATCAGGTCTTTCTCCCACATCCTCTGGCATGTGACAAATGTAGGTGCTAGTACCCAATTGCCAAGTTTGCCCTTCAAGTGGCGAATCTCCTCTTGTGGTGTCATGCCCTCAGGGGTGTCCAAAGCCTCTTCCTCAAAGCTGCCTTTGTCTGTTGCACTCATGATCACATACTTTGTCATCCAGTTTTCACCCAAATAAAACTGGTAAGAGTCCCACCAGGAAAACCACCTCATCACTTTCACCAGGGGCCCCAAGATTTGCAGGGACCTCATCTCCTCAATCTTGTTGAAGATTTGCAGGATTCCCTCTCTGGTCACAGGTTCTTCTTGTTGAAGTTCTAAGCAAATCAATGGCAGGTATGCCTGGAACTCTGCTGAGAAAGGCCCATATGTGGAAGATGTTGCAAGCTCAGCTGCTGCTACTTTTTTCCTTTGGAAAAATGCCTTTGTTGGGTAAGGTGCGTAGTTGAGGTTCCAAAACAAACTGTAACCTAGGAATGTCCTGAATAACTGAGCAGCCTTTAAGCTTGCTTTCAAATCGTTCCATATCCTGTGCTGCAAGTCATATTGCACTGAAAGGAGCAACTGCACCTGGTACAAGATGTAATCCAGGAACCCTCTGTTGACCCCCCCCCTGGTCACTGACAGAGGTCAAAGTTGGCACTTTGCTGAATTGGAAACCCTCTGGCAGCTGTGGTGTTGTTTGGCCTGTGATGGTGTCTCTGATTACAAACTGGTTGCCCTGCTGCTCTCTTTGCTCATGTTGCTTTAGTGGTTGCCAATGCACATCTGGTGGTGGTTTGAAGTCTGCAATATCTTTGCCAATGGCTTTCATGGAATGGCAGAGGGCTCTAAGTTCTGCAAAACCTGCCACCCTGGTCAACCTTTTCCTTGCAGCCGGAGCTTTGAAGACGACATCGACTTCTGTTGATGTTGAGAGGATTGGGCCTATATTCTGTTAAACCATTCTCCCCTGCCTCACCACTCCACACAATACCCACATATGTGTTGCAGTCATAGTCACTGGGATCCCAGTGCACTGATATGTGGGTAGTGTTTTGAAATGCATCAGCCAGCTGCTCCATATAGGCAGACACTTCCATGACAGTCTCATGGTTCACAATGTCTGACCCTTTCCCCACCAGGTCATCATGGGTCACCATGATGCTCTTTCTATGGTTCTTGCTCTTCTTGACCCTCCTCAAAAGGATCATCTTGTTAATGAATGGGACCCTCCTTAGGTTGCCTGATTTTGATTTCATCAAAGGCTGTGGTTTAGGTTCGTACTGTGACAAGGCCTTTGCATATTCCTCCATAGCCCCACCACACATATGGACAAGCCTGGGCCATACAAATGCCCCAATGTCATTCCACAGCGAAGAAGTGGACTGGTGTGTCTTGCCATAGAGCAAAAAAAGGAGCAAGTCAAAAATGGAAGCCTTTGCCAAGGCACTGCTAATGGACATGTCACCTGCATTGCCCAGAGCATCCCAGGTGGCCACAGCAATGCTGTGGAAGCCAAACAGTTCTGCCAAGTCTTCTGTGCAACCTTGGCTAAACCTCACATACTTGTAGTGGTACTGGCAATCTGTTCCAAAGATGGTGCAATTCATGGTGAAGGTAGCTGTCAGCATGGTGAGGCCAATCAAAGATCTCAAAAGCTTTAAGGCCATGAGTTTGTGGTTCTGTTTCACAGCCCTCCTGCATGCACACAAGGAAAGCATCAGGAACAGTGCGCAAGAGCCCATGGTGTGGAGACCTTTGTCCTTACTACTGCCCTGCCCCTTGTAATGAAAGCTGGACCAAGGAACCTCTGCTTGCTCACACTCTTCCTGGAATTGCTGCGCATTTCTTAGCAGCATGACATGATCTTTCTCTGTACCAAACCCCACAGCTTCAGGGATCCTGGCCCAGTCCCACTGGGCACCCACATCATCAACAGAGCCTGTGAAAACAATGTCATTCATGAGGTTAACAGTGAAAGGCTTGGTTGGCATCTCTGCAAAGGCCTCATCTGTGTGGCCCTCTTGGCCCTCTTCTTGCTTCTTCTTTTTCTTTGGTGCCATGTCACCAACAAATGGCACTAGTAGTGAAACAAAAGGACACCTGCATATACTATTATACATGTTATTGTAATGTTGCGCTCTAAAACATATGGTTTGTAGAGCCTATGGTTTGTCCTGAAACATCTCTAGTCTATGCTTGTCTCTTGAGCACACACAAGACACAAGACACATCTGCATAGGCACAACAGCAAAAGCACACAGGCAACAGTGCACTTGCCCATTGCCAAGTCCCAGGTGCACCCACAATGGCACACTTTTCCATACCATAAGTTGGCTCTGTCTTGCCAGTCAGCAGCACCATACCTTGGGCCACCAAGTACCCATACCCCTACAACAACCTACTCCTGACACAACTGCTCCAACACTCATAGCCAAGTGCTTCCCAGTTGCAGGTCTAGTGGGCAAAGTCACCAATCATACCAAAAGCATGGCACATGCATTGTGGACTCCTTGTGGTCTTTTTCCAGCAATACCTTGGAACAGTGGCCCCTTGGTATCCACCCACATTCATTTGATACACATCCACTTTGCCAGCGCTATGCAGGTCTATACACATATATATATATATATATATTTGTGTGAAGAATGTTCTTTGTCACCTTTCCACCTTTCCACCCACGCACCCTTGGCACCTCAAGCATTTGTTGCACTCTTCACAAGGACCATCATGATGCTCATGGCCACATCCACCAGGCATAAAATGCCCAGCTGGTAAGCACACACACTGGTCAATGGTGTCCATTGGCCTGTCATCCTGGAGGCGCCTCTCTGCCACCAAGATTCCCTTCAACAAGGTGAAGGTAACTCCTTCTATGGGCACTGGCTGCCCTTTCTCCAAGGGGCACCCCTCAGCACTGTAGTCTGCTTCAATACTCTGCACCCATTCTTTATATAGCGTCACTGTCCCAGGATTGCCCTCACCATATTTGCAGATCAGGTCCCACTTGCCCCAATCATCACCAGCTTTGACTTCCAACATTTCCAACTCCAGGGGGGTCAACTTTGCACTCCTAACCCTCATGGTTTTTTCTATCTCCCAGAGCTGGTTGTGTTCCAGGACCTGTAGTGACTCATCCAGCACCACACTCCTGGACCCCATGGCACTAGAGGACCTACCCCTTGTACTAGACCTTGAGCCAACTGCCCCCTATGCTGCTCAAGGCCCACTCCAGTGCACAGGCACAAATGGTGCATTTTTTCCACATCGATCCAAGGGTATGGACCAGTCTCACTGGCAGCCTCAGAACTCTAGAACTACCACAGTCTACCTTCTCCTACCCTAACCTACCAGAACCTACCAGAACCTACCATAACCTACTCTTTCCTACCAAAACCTACCAGAACCTACCAAAAACTACCCTTGGGGAAAGCCAAACATTCAATTGCCCCCACTACTGGCCAACAAGCCAAGTAAACAAAGCGCTGCCCATTTTTCTCCAGCTTCTCCACTGGTGCCAAGTCGCTTCCACTGTGCAAACATGGGTGGTGCACAGGCCTGGTTCAAAGCTTTGGGTGCACTCATATGTCTACTGTTTACATATTTGTCATAGCTCACATATATATATATATATGTATATGTATATATGTATATGTCGTGATCCTATATATATATATATATGTGTGTATATTACAATATCTACACTTAGATGAAGCTTCTGGTGGTGTCACTGATGCTTTGCTGATC